CATCTTCAAATGGACAAAAATCCATATTGCTCACAAAGCCTGTCAGTCGATGCCGCAGATAAGCTCTTTTTGCAGTTTTTGTACAACAATCCCTTGATAATAAATAAAAATAAATAATTTTAAAATGAATTTAAAAACTGACTTCATTATACCTATAAACTCGATAATATTTCCCATGCCCAGGACAACATGTTTGTGTGAGAGAAATTGATACATTCAGCAGCAGACCTCACAGTATAATTTTGCAAAGGTTCATCCAGTTGTCTTACATCCCACACTTTAATGCTTTTATCAGTGGCAGCAGTTGCCATGTATCTAAATAATAATAAACAGTATGTTCTTAGGCATTACAAATTGAATAAGTGGCAAAAATGATAACTCACATTCCTCTGGGATCAATGTGGAGTGCAGTTAATGGTGACTTGTGGCAGAGCATTTTAACAAGCGGATGTTTAGATGAAGGTGCCCTCATAGGCAACGTGCCCCATTTTACCACCCAAAAGTAGGTCTTCCATTGCGAGTATATTTCGCACGATAGGGGCCGAATTCATGCAGATGTAATTCAAAGTATTTTGTAGCTGATATAATATCAACACTAGCTGCAATCTCTTTCTGTGTAAACTGAGTGCTCGATTCACCAGCATCTACTTCTAGAAAACTATTAAGATTAAGATGTTAAAATCAAGCAAAGCTTCAATGATTAAACATATAATTACCCTGTGGCTGCTAATTCAGTTGCTAATTTAATATTTCTTTCTTTCTTTTCAAATTTCTTCCTGTGCACACCTGTTCGAATTCCTTTTTTCTCTATGCCTTCACCTCTACTATGCCTCTGTAGTTTTTGTTTAGGTATGGGAACACGACCAGGAAACTTAGGATTAGGATTTGGAACATATTTGATTTTTTTAACTCCACCATCTCTTGTTCTATGATCCCATAGTTTTGGTTTTGTATTAGCACTGTACTTAACATTCTTTCTACTTATTTTATTTGGATTTCTTTGTTCCTAACAAAGGCAAAATATGAAAAGAAAGTTTGATTGTAACTTGGAACAGTTTTTACCTTTCTGATTCGATTATCTTCCCTTCTACGACCCCATGGTTTTGGTTTCACGTCAATATTAAACACAATATCCTTCTTAAATTCTTTTTTCGGTTTAATATCTTTATTTTGAGTTTCATTTGAATCTTCTACTTTCTCAAAATATCGTGGAACCTATAAAAAAAATGCATGGTACTAAATTAAGACACACATTTTGTTACATACTTTGTTCATTTTTGTGTTATTGTTTTAACAGGATTTCCTTGTAAGTAGTCAGAAAACATGGGTTCCTTGGTTGGTTTGAAATGTTTGTTTTTGTTATTTTCACGAACAACAGAGCAGCTCTTCATAATTGCTTCTTAAAATATGGGTTCTAGTAATGTCAAAGCTTGTAGATTGTGATTATACAACATGTAATCGCCTGTAAAATGGGTTGCATAACGCAAAGTACTGAATCTCGTAAAATTAAATTGAAATACAACCAATGAAAAGCTGTGTATATTACACCACTTTCGGGTATATCGAAGACTAACGAACTATGACGAACTGAAGAAAACGTAAGCAGGATAACACAACAAAACATTAATAATTACAGTAGTCTAGGATATGCGTTAACGTCTTGTTTGGGAGCTCGTTTGAATCTACTTTGCTTTGTTATTGTCCGACAAAAATCAAACAAGGTAGGTAAGTCTTGATAGTTCATAATTGATATTATTATTTACAAACGATATAAACAATTACACATATAAAGTAACTTGTCTATATTTATGGTCATTGAGGTTGTAAGAGGGAAGGTGTTAAAATCATGCGTTTAAGTCGTATACCTACGAAAGATTTTTTAGGTACTGTCCTAAGAATGTGTAAACTATTTTTTTTGCCAATGCCGTATATTTAAACTAATCACCTGCGTGTGTCGATATATTTTGGTACTGAAATTTTGCTTTATATGATGAAAACCATTTAAGAATACGAGTATATATGGAAAGAGTGTAAAGCTAGATGTGTGAAAATTCAATCTTACTCTGACAATTTGAAATTAAAATTTTTCTTAATTTCACAATTTCTTTCAGAAGGACCATCTCATCACTTCTATCATCTGTTATTTACTTTTATTACATTCCTTCAAAATGTGCATTAAAGTTTCATCCTCCCTTTCACATATCCTACATTGCCTTTCGTCCTCCTTCATCCGAAACATTCACCCTCTGCTTCTATTTCCCACTCTAAATCTTGTCATCACATCCACTTCATATTATTGTCTTTGAAATTATGACCCTCAGATGTTCTACATCTTGATTTACTTGTTCATGTTTCTGATTCACATTCAGTTCTCTCAAGACTTCTTTCCTTTCTTTGTCATATCAATTTTTTATTTCGATTTTTACAATTCTTCTATTCTGTTCCTCTTTTTTTATATCCCTATCAGCTGAATTTTCTAATTTCTTCTGATAATGGATTTCCCTTTTTCTGCTTTCCTGTTCCCACATTTTATTTCTTTCCTAATCGCATAATCGGATGTCCTTCTATCTAAATTTAACAACTATCTTATATGTATAATTCTTTTACTTTCTGCTTGTTTCTGTTCATTCAATAACCTTTTCCTCCTTGCTCAATAATTCTGGCATTCACTTTCGCTATTTAATTATCTATTTGTATTTTATCATTGTTACTTACCTATTGCATAGCCCAGATCCGTATATTTTTTGACTTTTTATATTACACCCCCCCCCTCTATAACATTTCCTTTTGTCCCTCTCATTTTACCAAATTCCATAGACTTCGTTTTCCTAGGATTCAACTCCAATCCCTTCCTCTTGAGTATCTTCCCAAAGCCTTCTTCATCTTTTTCTAAGCACCATAATTCGTGGATATCATCCTATCGTTATTTCTCCCTCCCTTACCTTACTTTTTTCTTTCTCTAAATTACTTAAATCTATATATTTAGAAGTTGCGCACTCAATTTACACCGGTGCCTTACACTCTTTTCCATCCAGATTTTTTTATGTTCCTGTATCCTCAGTTAAAGAGGAGGACGACACCTTGTATTTTAGGTGTCTAAACATTTTGTGGAATTTTGGATATTTAGCGTTTATTCATTCAGTTAAGTTCCACAGTAGGTACTCCAATCAATCTTTTTGTAGAAATAGAGTAAAATCGGTGTATTTGTGCATCATCAGAAAAATAATAAGTGTAAAGCTTTGTTTTTAAGATTTTGTGCT